ACTATTGTCATACCTAAACGGCACGGGCTACCCCCCAATCAGTCGTAGCAACTGCACCCATCTAGTTAAGACGCGCCTCATCCGTCGGGAACAAAAATGAGTCGGCTAGCTTACTCATGGTAGTCGCATCAGAGTAAGTCGACGCATTAGCCGGAATCGTGATGGTAATCATCTCAGCCTCTTCCTCCATAACCGCGGTTTGGGATGACCTGGCTCCAACTGTAGGCTACTGACTTGACGGCATCACTAGCACATCCTATGCTTTCCGGCTAAAGACTCCCTCATCTTCTCGCGGCGTCGGGCGATAGATTCGCTCGTGCTTGGGACAGTCAACTTCTTCATCAGTGACTCTGCAAGTGCAAACTCTCCAACGGTTAGTGGGTTCAGCCCGGACTCACCAAAAATGATATGGTTGCAGTATCAACTCAGAAGCACATCCCAAGTTTGCTTTAGCGAGCGGAAGGGAGTACCTCTCTGTATCGCCTCTACTCCGGCCCAAAGAATGCTGGTCCTCAAGTTGGACTCTGCTAGCATTACTCGCCAATCCCTCTGCTCTAATGGGATGACTAACACTCACTAGATCACTACGTCCAAGCCGTCTCCGCTCCACCCAGCCCGATTGAACACAAGCTCTGCAAACAAAAAACACAATCAAGATTTAGTAATCATAAGTACGAAAGAAACAACTTAGTTCTCACCAGTAGCTCGCCAGCCGATCGGGATCTCGCCCTGACCTCTCTCCCCAAAAACAGCCTGACCCCTCAAGTAGAAGTATCGGTCCTTCAAGTTCTTATCACTGGACCGTAAGTCAGTCACCAAGTGAGACCGATCATGCCTCAAGTTCAACAGATAACGACCCTTCTCTTTATCATTCTCATTCAAGAAGTACGAATACAGCAGCTCGTGCAGCCCGAACCTCACTTGGTTCTAAACACAGAGGTCTTCTAAAGCCATTAATAGTCTCCAAGCATTCGGCATAAGCTGAGACGGGGCAATCATGAAATGGTTCAATACCTCCCACACGAGGCGAGGGATAGGTAGCCTCAACCCATCATGAAACCACTTCTCGTAAATACTGATCCAACCCTTCGCCTCCCAGTCAACCTGCTCGTATGACCACGACATCCGGATATCAACCGAACTCGGAATGTGATATAAGGTTTGAATGCGCCACACATCATTATCTTTCAGCACGGGCGGATAATCTCTAGTCAAAATCCCGCTGCCCTGTTGGCTCGGCTCTTCATTAGAGCCACTACTGGAAGAGGATGGACTACCAACTCTTTCGGAGTCTTTCCCACTTCCCCCATGCCTACCCGAACCACTCGGGTCGGGAGTACTCGTACCTAGGGCAGCTACACTAACTCCAGTTGGCACCCCAATCGGGATGCCCTCTTCGGGCATCATCACTATGGTGGGGGTGCACTCATACTTATGCCCAGCATCCACCATAATTTCACTCGAGCTAGCTGATTCAGAATCTGACATGGTGACCCGATCGCCCAGCCCGACCGACCAACTCGGTCCTCGCTTTGGAACTCCCAAAAAGGAACTAAATGTCAAAGGACCACTTGTCTTGAGCTAACGACCAAATGAATATACTACACCTAGCTGTCGCTCGCCCTTCAGCACCGGTTGACCTCCCGGCAACCTATCAACCCCTACACCTCGGTCGACCCTCGCTACCGACCGACCCGATCCAAACTTCAAAACTCCAAGAAACCTGTGTCAAACAACCGTTCACCCTGAACACTTGACCAAATGAGGCCACGAACACCCAGTTGTTACTCGCCCCTCAACACTGGGAGGCCTATCGCAGTTAACTAGTCAAATCTTACAAGCCTAAGCTCCGGTCCCCCCCATTACCGACTGGACTAATCCCAGGTCCAAGTCACCCTCGTTCGCCCTTAGTAACCGAATGGTACCCCAGCTTAGTCCCAGTGTCTACTCGCCCCGAGTTATCAACCTATAGATTTGATCACCAATACTGCCCACTCGATCCCGACGACCAACCCCTGGTTAAGACCTACCCACAACTCGAGATCAACCTTACTTGACTCGGTCCGCCAGGCCGACCGATTCGAAACAAGAAAACAATACGACCGTTTGACTTCTTTGTGTCCACCTAAAATAGTCAAAGATCACCCAGAAATGGACCAATCCACCGGAAAATCCCAAATTCACACCTATTTTTGAAAATCCGTGACCTAAACACCTCAAATTCCACTCAAAGTTCCCGAAAACTTCAAAAAATTCCAATCTCTCTTCTAAAAGCTCAAAAAAAAAAAAAAAAAAATCTCAGCCTCTCCCAAAACCTCAATAAAAACAAACGAACGAACAGAACAGACAAAAAGGAACAGTACTTACTGTAAAGCTGTCCCGAAAATTGTAAAAGGAAACCACCGCTGCTTAGGAAAACTGGAACGAAAACGAAAAGAAGAAGAGAAAAAGAAAGAAGAACAAGTTGCAGAAGAATGAAAGAAAAAATTCTAATGGAATACGAACGGTCCATTCATCAGTTTTTATAAAAGAAACCTGACAGAAACAGACACATGGCGGCTTGCTACTGCACAATGGTCAGGACGCCTCTTCGTTTTCCCGCCTCGAAAACAAGGAGTCGATCCCCATTGAACACATGGCAAGCATCCGTGGCACCTAGGAGATCGCAATGCCATACGAGAGACGTGCTCAATAGCCTTGTCTTCCTGGCCGAGCCAGCACACTACTCCTTCCTGGTCGACCAGCTTGGAACAACTTGGCTCGAACTCCCTATATTGAAAAGGTAGGAGGCCTCGCCCCTTCATCCCTCTATAGCGGACGAGCGGACAGCCAATGGTCGAAGCTTGCATATCCTTTCCACTCGATCGCCCGATCCTCCTGACCGACTTAGCCCTTAACTCCTGAAGGCACTCAAAATGCCCCATGCTTCTCCAGCCCAGAAGGCCCGGCCGACCAATTGATCAGCTTAGAACGGCCCGATTCGAGCCCTCTTCAGAAGAAAAAGATAGGAGGCCTCGCCCGTTCATCCTTCCATAGCAGATGAATGGACAATCTTTCGCCAAGGTCCGTGTATCTTATCCACTCGATCGTCCATGCATCCCGACCGAGCGAAAATTTTTAGATTAATAAACTCCCTACCTCACTCGACCCGGCATGCCGAGCGAACACCCGAGCTGTAGAATGATCTCTCCTCTCCAGTCGGTCAGATGTACCGAACGAGCACATGAGCTCTGAAGCCTGCTTCTCTTACCCTTCGGCCCCTCACACCGATCTGGCACACCACCTTGCAATGATGGCATACTCCGGATCATGTACGGATACCAAACGACACTCGACCAGGAATCTACCTGCAATAATCAGTTTATCCACGCCGACAATCGTTCGTCCACGAAGAAAGACCGAGCTCGCCTCGATCGCTACCTACTCTCTGACTTAAAAAACTCTTAACTCAAAGAGTGGGGGACAAACTGATAGGGCCAAAAATCATCCTCGGCCCAAATAGGAAAGTAGGACCATTTGTGAAGAAGAGACCAGGCCTAAATCCCAAAGAGGCCCAAGCCAGATTAGTCCCATTCATACGAGATACGGCCTGCCCAAACCATCTGGGCATGGGCCTCCCAGTTCCAGTTCACTTCCTGGGCCTATAGGCGAGTTCCGAGCCCATGACCCACTGATCACATTCCTGTTCCTGATCAATCTCCTACTCGAAGTCATTTTCCTGTTCAGAACACTTTCCTACTCGAAGTTACTTTCCTGATCATAATCACCTTCCTATCCGGACACTGGTAAGACAGCTTATCACGACCCTAATTCTTCTAGGATTTGTATCAAAGTCACATTAGGACTCCTACTCCCACCAAGATTGGGAGACCAGATAGTCACTATATAAACAGAGGCCAGCCTTCTCACAAAGGACACATTACATTACACCTTCACATCTGAAGCTCCTACATGAGAGCTTTACATCACTGCCGTAGTCACAGTCTCCGACTAGACTTCCGGTAACCTCTTTACTCCTTAGCCCTCACTATACTAGCCTCTTTCAACCTTACTGACTTGAGCGTCGGAGTACCTACAGCAAACACCACCCCGATGTTTCTCGTTCACTTCACGCGTTTGTTTTCTACGTGTGCAGGTGCAGCGGATCACTAGTGGCCTCAACCTCACGGGATCAGACCCCCCTTCCGTACAGGTAGATTTTTATGTCTATAAGAATCTGTTTATAAGTTTGGTTTAATGGAGGTAAGAACTAGCCCAACTTTGAAAAAGATGGGTGAATGGGTTGGTTCATTTATAAATGAGGACATTTTTGTCCTTCATATTTGTGTAAAATACCCTTTTGCTATTTTATAGGAAAGTTTTAAAAAAAAATGTTACTTTACAACTCCACCCCTAAAATAGTGTCATTTAACATAATTTATCTTTTTCCTCCGTAAATATTATTTGACTAAAATATTAGGAAATTTATTCTTAATATATTCTTATTTTTGTTGAGTTGTTTTTCTTTATATTCTCAGCACGTTACCCATTTCAATGATCTTTCAGGTATAATTGTTTTCTTGTGTTGTTTTTGTGACTACGTAAAATAAGTGTTGCGTTTATAATAAAACTTAATTTTTTTTTTCCAATAATGTTGTTTTACTAAGTTATGTCAATAATTATATCCATTTATGAATTTTTTTTCCTTTCATTTTTTTGCACTATATAGCTTATCAAATAGAAAAATAAGTTTAGATTAAATAAATTGTATAATAATTCACCATTAATTTCAGTATGTACAAAAATTAACACAAAATGTTTCACAAATTTATTTTATTTTATTTATTAAAACAATTTAAAAAAAAAAGTGTTACCAAGCCTCAATTTATTTATTTTTGAAAAATGAATCTCAGTTCTGAAATTTTGAATCCAAAAGCCCAATGGGCCGGCTGGATCGAATTCCTAAGGTCATATCATTGAGCCGGGTCGGTTTTGTAGTTTTACTGTTTTAGACAAGTCTCTAACCGTAAACCCTAAAAATCTCAACTGGGGTTTTGCACGCTTCGATTCAAATTGAAGGTTTCTTTCTTTCACCAGTGAGTCACGAAAATCCTTACTATTGGTTTTTTTTTGTTTTCATCACTGGGTTTTGATTCATTGTTGATATTTTCATCCTAAAGTTATTATTTTTATGCATTACTGTTCACTATCGTATTTGTTTTTGTTGTAAGGTTTATCTGATTTATTGTGAGAAAAGATGGTGAGGCCTTATACGATGAAGGGGCATAAGAGGAAGAAGAAGAGTGAGGAGGATAAATATGATAAGGAGGGAGAAGAAGAGGAAGAAGTCGCCGAAGAGCAGCCTGACGGATTTGATGAGAAGGACGATCAAGGACAAGAAGAAGAAGCGGTACATGAGATGGAGGGCATCCCTATTGGCCCGTCTGACCGAAATACGAAGAAACCGGGAGTTATATTTGTTCTTGAGAAAGCTTCTCTTGAGGTTGCAAAAGTTGGAAAGGTTGGTACATTGTATTCTTCTCTAATTGTATAGACTTTAAGGCTTGTAGTGTGAAAATTTATATAGTGTTATTTTATTTTTTTGTGGGTTTTGTTTGTTCAGAATTACCAGATATTAAATTCGGATGATCATGCTAATTTCTTGAAGAGGAATAACAAAAATCCGGGTGATTACAGGCCTGACATTGTTCATCAGGTTAGTGAGTTCAAAATTAGAAGCTTTTTTGTGAGCTTAAAAGTTTATTAAATTTTGAATTGAAGAGTATGCTGCAACTAATTGATGGCTGAACTGATATTGACATAACTTAGGTGCTGATTAGAATCTTAATCAAAGGGTTTTTTATCCCTCGGAGTGTAGACTAACTTTTTATGCTAAATTGAAATGCTGTAATATCAATATGTATAGTTATGTTATCTTAATCTTGTTTTTAATTATATACAGTATCTAGTTTTATTTCTGTAAACATTAATAATCCTAATTAATGTTGGTTTTAGGCTCTCTTATCAATTTTAGACAGCCCACTTACCAAGGCTGGAAGGTTGCGAGCTGTGTATGTTAAGACAGAGAAAAGTGTTCTTTTTGAAGTTAAACCACATGTCCGTCTACCAAGGACATATAAGCGTTTTTCTGGTATCATGTGTAAGTTTGGCTGATCTCTCTTTAAACATGGTCTTGCTTCTCATGTGATTATGCTCTCTTTTGACATTTGAGGAGGTTTTCTCTTTTGTTAATTTTTACTTTTAAAATTATTGAAGTGCAGCTGCTACAAAAGCTAAGTATAACTGCTGCTGGTAAGCGTGAGAAACTATTGCGTGTGATCAAGAATCCTGTTACTCAGTATTTACCTGTAAACTCTAAAAAGATAGGTAAGCTTAAATGTGCTTAGTCATCACATGTTATATGTTGCTATTTGAAATACTAGAAGTTGTTTGCTTGCATTACAGGCTTCTCATATAGTTCAGAAAAATTGGTTAAGATGAGGAATCATGTGGCCACTATCAGTGATGATATGGACCTTGTTTTTGTGGTATGCTCAGAAGTAACATTTGTTTAATACACATTATACTGTAACTTTTGCTTTCGTGTCTTTATTTTGTCTGATGTAAACTTGTATTCTTTATGATCTAATATCATATGCATTTTCAGGTTGGTGCAATGGCCCATGGGAAGATTGAGACGGATTACACAGATGACTTAGTAGCTAGTAAGTTTCTGGTGTATCGTTTATTCCCTGCTTAAAAATGCTTCTTTTTTCTTTTTCTTCAGAAGTCCTGGAGTGAATATACATCTTACCATGCATATTATAATGTCTGGTTCCATCTGCATTTTCTTCTTTCCTCTTTCTGAAACTCTTTAGAATTGGAGCTGAGCCTCTGATTTGTTGTAAGATTTCTTCTTTGTCAAGGGTTTTAGACCTCCTCCAGTTGAAACTCTTAACATCTCAGAGAAGCTGAATTGAAAATAACTAATAGCCAAACTTTTTTGCTTTCTGTTTTAATTTGAATTTTCTGCATTATCTAAAAAAGGAGAGAAGAAAAAAAAGTATCCTAGTTGTGTTATTCAATATCATTTTGTATTTGGAGCTAATAATGTGGTGTTCTCTTTATTAATTACTATTTTTGTTTCTCCAGTTTCTGGCTATCCAATGAGCGCTGCCCGCTGCATTGCAAGAATTTGTGAGGCTCTGGAAGATAAGTGGGGTATATTGTAAGAGCCAATTTAACTGTCCCAGAGGGATTAATTCAATATTTGAGTAAATTTATTGTTGTAGTGATGATGTAAACTACATAATATTGAGCTTCGGGATATTCAGTTAAGTTTCACTTTTTTATTGTGCCACAAATGCTTATATTGAGTCACCATGTTAAGTACTCCATATAAATTTATACATATACAGTGATCTAATTTTCATCAATAGTTAATGTTTTACTTTTACATATAAATTATATTAACAAATTCTTTTATATGATGTGTTGGAATAATAATTCTCAGCTCATGTAGTCATTACTCTTTTATCATAATATTATTCTTATTTTATTTATTAAATATTTATTGAGTTAATTATATCTTTTTTATTCATTTTATGTTATGTTAATATTTATTGCATAATTTTAGTGTATATATATATATATATATATATATATATCCCATTATTATCAAATTGTCCTTTAGTACTCGTAGTAGGCTCTCATTTTTGGTCGTTAGGCAAGATATTTTGTCTTCAACATTTAACAATGTTCAGGAATAGGAGGAGGAAAGAAAAATCTATTGACTAATTGAAATCTGGAAGCATCCAAGTTTGCTTACTGCTTATAAAGCACCGACGGCCCAGCCGGTCATCTTCTAGGGAAGTCAAAAGGAAATGAAGGTTTTTACTTTTTATTTTAACGCATAACTACTCGTCAACGTTTGCTTCCATATGACGGAAAAAAATAAAAAAAATAAAATGAAACAAATGAAAATTTCTACGTTGCGTTCTTGCTCTGAGAATTTCGTTGCATACCAATATAGGATATTTAGCTCAAGTGCTTAACTCAATTGGTCACAATAGATTATAACTGTCATTTTCTAAAAGAAAATAAAGATGACTTATCTAACGACACATATTTATTTATTTTGATGTCTATTATGTATATAAAAAAAAAAAAAATTTTAAATTTTTGTCTTTTAATATTTTCAAAACACACCCAAAGATAATCCAATTGAAATAAATTTTATTTTTCACGGATCAATAATTTCCATTAAACTTCATAATATTTGCAAAACTGTCCAATAAGAAATATATTTGTTGTGCAAAAAATTCAGGACCAGATAAATTTTTAATTGACATACAAATATCTTGCGATACATGCTTCATGATTCAAAGCCGAAGATCACGTTTTTTCCTATTTAGTCAAATTTGAATTTATCTCCAAGAAAAAACCCTTGTAATCGACACGGTATATAAACCCCATCATAGTCTCTTTTAGAGGAAGGACAAAATTAGGTCACAAAAAAACTTTTGTAAAGGCAGATCACTAGGGTTGCAAATTCAATAACATAGTAGTAGATGTAAGTTTTGCATGATAAATAACAGAATTATTTTAAAAAGTCTTCTTTGTTATTTAATATTTTATGTTAATTACTGCACATTTATGATTGTATTATCCCATTATTAATCTATTAGGATTACACGCAGATTTTAAGTGGTTCTAGCATTGTCAATCACGTAGTCCTGGTTAGTGTAAATTTTCCCTTCAACAGTATTAACGTTGATGCGTGATTTTAACACCAACGAAACGCATGTGTGAAATGTTGAGCTGGCCCAAAAGACACATGTGAATGGAAAGGAAAATGACAGTAAATGCAGTGAGAAAGGAGTTTTAAAGTGGTTCGGATGCTAAAGAAGCAAGTCCTACGCCCACTGATGTTTGTATTAATGATAAGGGTCAGGTCGTTTTAGATGACTGACTTTACATTGATAATACAAGGTATCAAATGCTGTCTATTCTAGAGAGAGAGTGTGGTTGATCCATAGTAAAAATGTGCGAATCCCCTTAATGAGAGAGGAGCTCTCAACTTATATTGGGATGCATTGAGGTAATGATCACTGAATCTGTAAGTTGGTGGGAAGATCTATGTAAATCATTCTTTATGTCACATTACCTATCTTCTAGAGTAATTCACATGATTTGCTGCAGGGATTGGACACACGGGATCATCACAGCTCCTGGCTGGCCTAACGTGCACCCACTATTCTAACGGAAGCAGGCTGTGGGTGTACCCATGATCACACGATGCAGCTGCGTCAGAATGTCAGTAAATTCTTCCCGAGGTCTGACCTTTCGAACTTAACTAGGTGCCACGTTAGCCCTATTTTCCCAAGCATAACAGAAGTCCCCTAGTTTTTAAGGTTTGAGAATCGAATCTTGGAAACTACAAGTCATGCCGCAATTGGATGATTCCTGGAAATTCTGGTGATTCCGACCTGTTTGAAAGTAGGTCGAGAAGACACTTTTTTGCGAACACGACCTCACATGATCATTGTTTGTAGAGGACGAGCGACTTGATTTCGTCAGACGTCACCTGTTGTTCTTTTGATATGGGTGCATTTAATGAAGCAGTCCTTACGCTGACAGATGTGCCTTGTGAGTGATAAGTGCCAGCCAGATGCATTAAATGCATTATACGCTGACACAGTACCCCTTATCAGGACATTAAATGCATGACATGTTGAAACGACGCCCCTTACCAGAGCATTAAATGCAGATTGAGGCGCAATTAATGCTCTGAGAGAGAGATGGTCATCGTTTGAGCTTTTCAACGGAAAGATGAAGATTTGACTTTCTTCAGTCGTGACGCTCATTCTTCCTCGTTGATGAGCGACACGTAGCCATGATCAACGGTGAGAAGCCTTTGCCGCCCAAATGCCGTTTCGAATCCAAGAAATCCAAACGCCGATGCATACGCTATAAAAACCTCAAATCTTTCTCAGGCAATGTCATCAGAGCCTTTTTCACAGAGAGTAAAAGATTTTCGCAAACCTGGAACCTCTGCCTTCCAAACTAGCATTTTTCTAGTATTCGAAGTGGAAGCTATCCTTATACTCCGAGAGGTAAGAGCTTCTCTCTGTTTTTGTTTCATTATTTTTCATGATTAAATGGCGTCAGTCTTCCGGTAGCCCATCGGAGACGAGATGCTTAGGTCGGGTTCGAGCCATGAATGGCGGCTCGAATCATGCCGTTAGGGTTTCCTTTGGGATTTAGGGAGTTTGTTTCCTCCCACGTCATCGTACGAAATAGCGTACGGCGGCTAAATGACCTTTCTGGTTGTCACTTTTGCAGACCAGTAAAATGGACCCCTCAACAACCAGATCCAAACAGGGAACCAGTTCGTCCCCACAGGGTGCTCCAAGTATCCCTCTCGAGGTCTTCTCAGTACTTATCGGGGATGAGCTCGAGAGGGTAATAAAATAGTACAGTATCAAGGTGGACGCTTTCCTCGACATGGCACACTCATTGCGATACCCGCTAAGTGGTCTGGCCGCGATCTCCGAGGAGATCATCGAGGGTGGGGGACAGATCCCTTTCCACCCTTTCATCAGGTTGCTTTTGGACCACTTCGGGGTCGCGCCGATGCAGTTGACTCCGAACGCGTACGTCATTGCCATTGCAATGTACATCACGTGCCACGAGAATGGGCTGGGCAAGCTGACCGCGACGGAGCTCGCCTGCTCGTATTTTTTAAAAAAGAGCAAGGACAGGATTCTTATTACTTGTCCAGGCGACCTACTATCGCCGAGGGGATACACAGTTACCCGAGCAATGTGAGGGCCTATGAAACGGAGTTTTTCTTCTATGACGGTCATTGTCACTTCCAGGAACCGAGTAGGCCTCTTTTTTTTTTTTTGACAAATTCATTACATTCGAAATGTGCTCTTTCTAACGACCTGATTCATTTCTGACAGTTAACATGACGACCGACTTAGGGCAGCTCTTCGATAGACGTAGGATCGTGCATTTCGGCTCCTTACCTGGGGACAAGCGGGACGCGAAGAAACTCGTGACGACCGCGAATTTAAGGAAATACGGTTTCTTCAACGCAAACGCGTCGTTAGAGCCCCCATTGAGTAAGTCCTGCTAACTGGTCCTTTTTTGGTTGTGAAATGAGATATCTTTGCTAACGATGCTTTGCATGTACCGACCATGCCTCTAAAGGAGTCAAAGCAGCCGCAACGAAGGCTGCTCAATTTCCCTCGGTCAAGAAAAGCCAAGGCGACCAATGTTGCTCTGACCGTTCCCCCGGCTGAAGGTGCAACATCGGGCCCACCGGCGTGACCTTTCCCTGGATTTCTTAGCCATAACTGTCAGAGGACGCACCAATACGAACCATGAAAGTTTCCCAGATGTCGCCTGCTCGCCCGAGGCTGAAGACAACGGCTCAGCAGAAGAAGAAGAGGTAGATTCAGGTCGAAGAGTCAAATACCGAATCTGAGGGCGATCAACCTAGGAGGTCGCGACCGGACGTGAGGAGGTCGGATAAGGAACCGATGGATGACACGACCACTGCTGAAGGCACGAAGAAGGATACTCGAGTGTTGGACTCACTATGGAACCTGCCGGAGTACCTGCAGCCGGTGGTCTACACTCTATTGGAATGCAGACTCTCGGAATCATTTGAGCAGTTCTCAAATTCCAATGACGTGGACCTAATGTTTACATCAGTCTAACACTTAAGCAAGGTGAACGAACTGTCCTCGGCGAGGACTACCCTTAGCTTCTTTTGATTAGCTAACTCTATCTTTCTTTGTTCGTAGGCTCTTCTTTCCATGTGAATGTCCCTGGAGAAGGTTCAACTAGGAGTCGCAAAGGGAGAGATTGCTCTGAAGGAAGAGAACGCAACGCTCAAGCGAAGCTTGGAAGCTGCCAAAATAGAGAGAAACATGTCTTCTAAGTCGGTGAACCGGTACCTGAATGAAAGAGACGCGGCTCTTCGTACGGTGGACTTCAAAAAAGCGCAGCTCGAGAAGCATGGAGAGGAAATAAAGGAGCTACAAAGGACCATAACTAGACTCTCCAAAGAGGCTGGGGAGAAGGACCAAGAGCTCAAAGTGACCTCTTTGCAGGCCTTGCGAATAGAACAAGAGAGGGACGCCTCCGAGAAGCGAAGGCAAGCTCTCGAAATTGAACTTCAGGCAAGTCAGGGAAAAGTTGCTTCCTTGACACAAGAGATGCAAAATCAGGCAGCGGAGGTCGAGGAGAAGGCTGTCGAATGGGCGATTGAGTCTATCTATGCCTTACGACCGAAGAATCCGCGACTTGATATGTTCGACCTCTCAGAAGACTGGCGGGATACACTTATGTCCATGGC